TGATACAATATAACAAGAGGGGTGTATACAATATAAAGAAAATGGAATGAAAGAGCAATGCTTTATGACTATGAAGACTCCTTCCAAGAAGAGATGATGTCTGAGCTGGCTTTTGATGACCAAATAGGACTGTTAAGCTCAACTCCTCTTAGGTGCATTGTTCCCCACTCTTTATATAGATCTGGTGCTTGGAAACACACTAAAATATTATTTTTTAATAATTATTTATTTAGCATGTAGCATATACAGAACACTAAGTTAATATTTGTGCACAAGTCAAAGAAGAACAAGGTAGGTTCTATATGTCTTACTTATAAAAACAAATTAGAGAAAACAAGGCATGATCCAAAATAATAAAAGAATGAATAAGAATGAGGAAAGCATTTAACATAACACTGGCTATAAAAGATCAAGCAGGCAAAATGCAAACTCTGAATCAATAGGCAGAGAATGGGGTCAATAATGTAACCTTAAGAAGCTAGAAAAAGAAGATCAAATTATACCCCAAAAATATGTAGAAAGAAATAGTATAACCAAGAACAGAAAATAATAAAATAAAAACAGATATACAACAGACAAAAATCAACAAAAGCAAAAGTTAGTTCTCTTAAATAATCAATATAATAAAACCCTACATCAACTTCTCAAGAATAAAATAATACATCCTGGGCAACGTGGCAAGACCTCCTCTACCAAAAATAAAAAAAGAAATCAGCTGGGCATGATGGTGCATTCCTTTAGTCCCAGCTACTAGAGAGGCTGAGGCAGGAGGATTGGTTGAACCCAGCAGTTTGAAATTACAGTGAGTTATAATCACACCACCACAGCCTGGGTGACAAAGACAGACGTGTCTCAAAAAGAAAAAAAAAAAAGAATAAAAGAATAGACATAAATTGCTAATATCAGCAATGTGAAAGAGAACATCATTACAGATATTTCAGATATTAAAAGGATAAAATATTATCAATAATATAATGCCAACACATTTGGTAACTTAGATGAAATGGACACATTTCCTAAAAGACTGCAACTTACCAAAACTGACTCAAGAAGAAATAGAAAATCTGAATAAATCTATGTCCTACTAAAGAAATTAAATTTCTAATGAAAGGCCTCTACACACAAAAAAAATCTCTGGGGCCAGATGGCTTCCTAATTAATTCTACATTCAACATTCAAACATTTCAAGAAAAAAAATACAAATTCTACACAAGCTCTTTCAGAAAATAAAGATGAGGACAGTATTCCCTGTAAACAAAACTTGACAAAGACATTGTACGAAAAGAAAACTATAGATCACTGTCCTTTGTGAACATGAATAAAAAAAAATCCTGCAAAAAAAGAAATCCTGCAAACACAATTAGCAAATTGTATCTAATAATATTTTTAAAGGATAGTAATTCATAATCAAGTGGGGTTTATTCCTAGAATACAATGTTGGCTTCACATTTATAAATCAATTAATGTAATTTATCATATTTAGATATTAACAGGATTTAATGTTAATTTATAATGCAATGTGTTAATTTATCATATCACAGTAACAGAATATGGTGCATTTCAACAGATGTAGAAAGAGTAACAACAGTTGACATTCATTCATGATCAAAACTCTGCAAATTAGGAATAGCATTTCTTCAACTTGATTAACAGTATCTACAAAAACCTACATCTAACATAACACTGAATGGTGCAAAACTGAATGTTTTTCCACATAAAATTTGGAACAAGGAAATAGTATGCTAGAGGTCCTAGCTAATGCAAAAAAGCAAAACAAAAAGGCAAGGGCATACCATTTGGAAAGAAAGAAATAAACTATTTTAAATTACATATGGCATGATTGTATATGTAGAAAATCCTAAAAAGTCTTCCTACTAGAATTAATAAATGAAATTAACCTTGTTTCAGCATACAAGATTAACATATAAAAATCAATTGCATCTTCATGTGTTAGTAACAAACAATTGGAAAAGGAACTAAAATAATATTTTTAAGGGCATTCAAAAAGATGAACTACTTAGGTATAAATTTTTTTTTTTTTTTTTTTTTGAGACGGAGTTTCGCTCTTGTTACCCAGGCTGGAGTGCAATGGCGCGATCTCGGCTCACCGCAACCTCCGCCTCCTGGGTTCAGGCAATTCTCCTGCCTCAGCCTCCTGAGTAGCTGGGATTACAGGCACGCGCCACCATGCCCAGCTAATTTTTTGTATTTTTAGTAGAGACGGGGTTTCACCATGTTGACCAGGATGGTCTCGATCTCTTCACCTTGTGATCCACCCGCCTCGGCCTCCCAAAGTGCTGGGATTACAGGCGTGAGCCACCGCGCCCGGGCACAGGTATAAATTTTTAAAAATTATTCAAGACCTGCAAAATGGAAACTAAAACACTTCTAAGAGAAATCAAAGACAATTTAAATGAACAGAGGGATATATTATGTTCATAGAATGGAAAACCCAATATTGTTAATATTCAATACTTTCCAAATTAATTTATATCTTTAACTCAATTCCTATCAAAATCTCAACAGAGTATTTTTATTGTTTTGTTTATTTTTTCTTTTTTTTCACTTTAGTTTTTTTCTTAACAGATTATTTTTAGATATTGATAAACTTATTCCAAAATTTACAAAGGACATCAAATAGCCAAAACAATTTGACAAAGATCTAAGTTGGAGGACTTATGTTACTTGATTATAAAGCTACAAGCAAGGCTGGGCATGGTGGCTCATGACTATAATCTCAGCACTCTGGGAGGCTGAGGAGGGTGAATCACCTGATGTCAGGAGTTTGAGACCAGCCTGGCCAACATGGTGAACCTCCATCACTACTAAAAAAAAAATACAAAAATTAGCGAGGCGTGGTTACAGGCACCCGTAATCCCAGCTACTCTGGAGGCTGAGGCAGGAGAATCGCTTGAACCCAGGAAGCAGAGGTTGCAGTGAGCCAAGATCATGCCACTGCACTCCAGCCTGGGCAACAGAGCAAGACTCCATGTAAAAAAATAAAAGCTACCATCAGGACAGTGTGATGTTAGAATGGCAGACATATAAATCAAAGGAATAGTACTGGTAGTCCAGAAACAGATTATATATGATCTATTAATTTTTAACAAAGTTGCCAAAGTAGTTCCATGAGGAAAAAAAACAGTCTTTTTAACAAATGGTGATGAAACAACTTTGTATCTTCATTTGGAAAAACTTGACCTCATCCCTTATGATATGGTTTGACTCTGTGTTCCCACCCAAATCACACTTCGAATTGTAATTCCCATGTGTTGAAGGAGGGACCTGGTGGGGGTATCTGGATCGGATCATGGGGGGCAGTGTCCCCCATGCTGTTCTCATGTTAGTGAATGAGTTCTCACAAGACCTGATTGATAGTTTAAAAGTGTTTGGCAGTCCCCCTTTCGCTCTCTCAGTCTCTTGCCACAATGTAAGGTGACTGCTTTCCCTTCGCTTTCTGCCATGATTGTAAATTTCCTGAGACCTCCCCAGCCATCTGGAACTGTGAATCAATTAAATCTCTTTCCAGGTAGTTCTTTATAGCAGTGTGAAAAGGAACTAATAACCTTACCTCAAACATACACAAAAATTAACTCTAAAATTACCATTAAGAATAATAAAGATGCTAAAACTATTAAACTTCTAAACATATGAGAAAATTTTTGCAAACTTGGGGTTCAAGGCTTTGCATGTGTGATTTTCTTTTTTGTTATTTTCTTTTCGGATAGACACAAAAAAGCACTAAGTACAAAAGAACAAAATTAACAAATTGGACTTAATCAAAACTAAAAACTGTTCTGTGAAAGACATCATTCTTAAATATTAAAAAGGCAAGTTTTAGACACATGTATATAATATATAGTTACATAGTCATTCTTATATACAAACATATGTGTGTAAATATATATATACACATGGACACACACACATCTGACAAGGAATTTTTTTTTTTTTTTTTTGAGACAGAGACTCATTCTGTCACCCAGGCTGGAGTGCAGTGGTGTGATCTTGGCTCACTGCAACCTCTGCTTCCTGGGTTCAAGAGATTCTCCTGTCTCAGCCTCCCAAGTAGCTGGGATTGCAGGTGTGTGCCACCAGGCCCAGCTAAATTTTGTATTTTGGGTAGAGACTGGGTTTCACCATGTTGGCCAGGCTGGTTTTGAACTCCTGACCTCAAGTAATCCACTCACCTCAGCCTTCCAAAGTGCTGGGATTACAGGCATAAGCCACCGTGCCCAGCCCTGACAAGGAATTTGTATCCAGAATATTTAAAGAACTCCTATAATTCATTCAGAAAAAGATAAGTGGCCTTTATTCAATGGGCAAAATATTTAAACCTCCATTTCACAAAAGAGGATTATGGGAAGTTAATAAATACTTGAAATATGTTCAACATAACCAATGCTCAGGAAAATGCAAATTAAAATTATGAGATAACATCAACTAAAACTTATGTGTAATTGTTGAAATTTTAAATACTAATAATAGTAAGTGTTAATGAGAATGCAGAACAACGGAAACTCCAACAGTGTTAGTGGGAATACAAAATGGTACCACCTGGAAAAAGACTGGCAATTTCTTAAAACATTAAACACACACTGCATACAACCCAGAACTCTCATTCGTGAGGAATAAAAATATTTGAAAGAAAATAAAAGCATATGTCTAAACAAAGAGTTGTACACAAATGTTCATAGCAGCATTTTTCATAACGGCTCACAACTGGAAACCACACAAATGTCTATCAGGAGGAATGGTGAATAAATAAACAAATAGTTGTATATCAACACGACGGAGTACTACCCAGCAACAAAAAGAAACAAACCACTGATACATGCAACAGTATGGATAAACCTCAAAAGTGTTATGCTGAGCAAGAGCCCAGACCCAAAGTGTACACAGTGTGTGTGTATACACACACACAGACACATACCCCTTAGAATATCTATTAAAATCTATCTATTAGAATATGATACTTAATAGTGCTCCAATAATGTTACTTGTCTCTAAGTTCCAGCCAAGGGATGACAGAATCAGAAGGTTCTGGTATTTCTTGGAGATGTTTAGCCAGCCCTCTGAACCCTAACAGTTCAGAAGTAATTATGGCCTGAGTTACAGATCAGGCCAGCAGACACTACTTTCTTCCCTGGGTAATAAGACAAAACACAGGAAGCTGTGGCTTGGCAGTGGTTATGTCATAAAAGGAAGGCCTGTAACTAACCACTGGGAGCAGGGAGGGAGCTGGGTAGGAAGCAAGGAAGGAAGACACAAGTAGAACTGTGGATAATGAGGCTTTTCCCTTTTGTTTCAACTCCAGGTTTTTTCTTCAGTTCTGTGATTGGTGGTGTCTGCAGGTAACAAATAATTACTGTGTTCAGTACAGGATAGCCTGGTGGAAGGAAAACAGCCCTTGAAGTTCTCAGAACTAGGCTTCAACGCCAATTTTTCCATTGCATGGGTGTGTGATCCTTGGCAGGAGACATAGGATCTCCAAATTGCAGTCTCCTCATCTCCAAGATGAGGATAATAAAAGAATCTAGCTCATAGGGGCGTCCTGGGGATTAAATAGCACGGGCTTCCATCAAAATCTATTGGAAACTGGGTAGTCAAAAACTGGAGTTTTCAAATGCGTGACCAAGAATAGACACAGGCTGCACAGAGTTCAGGGCTTGGTCCAGATTGGACAAGAAAGTTCCCTAGGCCAAGCTGGCTAAGCACCACAGGTACCATTATAACCCCAGCCCTGAGGGATGTGAGCCAGATTCTTAAGATTTAGAGAGGCCAGAAAAGGCTTCAGCCTCCTCCACCCCATTCCTCAGCCACTTTCCTCCCAGACCACCTTGGCTCTGTCCCCTGCCACTGTTTGTCCTCTTGGTGCTGGAATCCCCAGAGTAGAATGTGAGTGTGTCCTCCTCCAGGGAAGGATTGTGTCACAAGCTGTGTTCATTCTGTGAAGTGTTTGCCCTGCTTGGGCTTAGTAAATACAAATAGCGGTCACGTGTGCTCTTGACCCCTCTGCTGCACGCACAAAGGCTCTTGCCCAGTTGGCACTGGGTGCTTCTCCAGAGCAGCCGCTAGGGGGAGCCTGGGCTGGGAGCTCTGAGAAATTGAACAATTTGTTGAGGTCTTTGTTGTGGTAGAAAACCTTGACGTGGTGTTAGGTCAGCACCTGCGAGGGTCTTATTCTAAAAACACCGGTTTTTGGAGGATGTTTAAGAACGGAAAATCATCCAACAGTTAAGTAAACAGAGCTGGGAAACATTTTTATCTCCATACTTTCCCTTCACTGGCTGAGAGACTAGTCTGGGCCTTCCCTGACTGCCCAATTAACAGTCAGAAGATGTGCAGTGGAGCCGGGTGCTGTGAGTCATGCCTGAAATCCCAGGGCCTTGGGATTCTGAAGCAGGAGGACCACTTGAGCCCAGGAGTTCAAGGCTACAATGAGCCATGATCACACCACTGTACTCCATCCAGTCTGGGCAACAGAGTGAGACCCTATCTAAAAAACAAAACAAAACAAAACAAAAGCTGTCTAGTGGAAAGAACAAGAATCAGAAGTCATAGATGGATCCAAGACTGTTCTGGACCCTCCCTAGTTATGAGAACTTGGACATGTCTCTATTTCTCTGAGCCCTTGTTTATTAATAATGTCTGTTACCATTCATCAGTTACTTCCCATATGCCATGCTGCCAAAAATTATCTCATTCAATCCTCTCAATAATTACATGAACAAAGTGCTTGCTATGCATAGTTTGTAGATTAAGAACTGAGGGATAAAAACTAGCTCACCCGAGGTTTTTAATCTACTAGTCGTTCCGACATTTCTGACTCCAAATATTAGGCTGAAGCCCTATTTCCTCTATATGTTTTCATTTTCAAATGAGCCATGGTAATAATAATAATAATAATAATGCCTTTATAACAGATTTTTACTCGCAAACTTGAAAGTTATTCAAATGATTATTTTCAGAGTTTGTTGTTGTATGTGTTTTGGGATTTGCAATATGAATGTGTCACAATTCATATGTCGAAACTTCAATCCCCAATATGATAGTATTAGGAAATGGGGCCTTTGGGAGGTGATTAAGTTATGTGGGCAGAGTCCTTGTGGATGGGATTAGTGCCCCTATAAAAGGGACCTCAGAGAGCTTTCTAGGCACCACCCCCCATTATTTTTTCACCATATGAAGTCACAATGAGAAGACAGCAGTCTGCAAAACAAAAGAGGGCCTTCATCAGAACCTGACCACACAGGCACCTTGATCGCAGACTTCCAGCCTCCAGACTGTGAGAAATAAATGTTCATTGTTTATAAGCCACCTGGTCTGTTACTTTATTGTAGCAGCCGAAACTGATTAACACAGGGTCTAAAGGTCACTTTGCAAAGGGCTATGACATGTTGTATGAGTAGAGAGAAAAGGTCTGTGGAAACAGCTGAAGACAAGATGTGATCCCAAGCATGACAAGGGCCTGAGCAGAGCCCAGCTCGGGAGTCTCAAGCAGGAAGCTGCCCTCCCCGTCTGCCTTCTCCCCTTGCCTGGTGCTGATGCTGAGATGTAGAGACAGCCCTTTCTCCTTCCTGGCCACTCCTTTGTCCGGAGAACAGAAACCCCCAGTCCTCTAATGAAGAGTCTGATGAAACAGTCACTTCTCTCTTGGTTTAGCTCTGCAGGCTCAAAGTAGCCTCTTGCTGCTTTATTCTTATGAAATTCTCTGTGTCTCTCACAAAAAAAAAATGGCCCTTTAATTTACGAAACATCTTCTGCCATCCCCCTCCTTCTACCAGCTCCAGGGACTGCATGACTTAAAATAGCTAAAACTTTGAGCAACTTAAATGCCCATTCATAGAGGACTGATTAAATAAGTGATGCCACATCCTTACAACGTTCATTAGTTACCTAAAATTTCACTGTAGTCAAATTAAGTACAACTCAAACTGCCTAAAGCCAAAATAGGAGTTGATTAGCTCTTGTAACTGAAAGGGCCAAGGACCTATGACTGCAGGTCCTGGAGCCCCAGGTGTTCAAACAATGTTTGTCAGGAACCGGCCTCTTTCCATCTCTTTCCTCTGCTTTCTGCTGCATCAGCTCCATTCTCAGGCAGCAAAAAAGGCTAGGAGCAGCTTTAGGTTTATATCTCACAAAATTTACCACCCCAGAAATTTTCAAGCAAAAATCCTGTGACTACCCATTTCTGGACCAATCTTGGTGATTCAGACCACGTCATGTCTTAATTAAGGGATTGATATAACATAAAGATCAGACCATTAAACTTCTAATAGAAGATATGAGAAAATCTTCACAACCTAGGGATAGGCAAAGATAAGATACAAAAAAAAAGCATTACTTATAAAAGAAAAGAATGATAAATTGGACTTAACCAAGGTTAAAAGCTGTTGTTTGACAGGTAGCATTTGAAAACAGAAAGCATTGACTCAGACTGAGAGAAAACAATGTCTCTTATGCTGTAAAATAGTTCTGCCACTATTTAAAAAAATAGATGAATATACCTGTATCAGTATGAAAAAAATCACTGAAAAGAGAGACATAGCGAATAAGTGAATAAAACAGAAATCTCTACTACCTAAAGTAGTTCACAATATTTATTGAATGAATCTTTAAAATATATTAAATTTAAAATATATGCAGATTGATCTCATTTATGTTTTTAAAAAGTATTTTATGTATGTGTGTAAATGCATAGAAACAGAATTAGAAGTGGTAACAGAAAGGTGGGCTGTTGCTTTTGACCCCCTTATACTTATGTAGATGTTTAATTTATCCAAAAATAAGTAGAAGATAAAAGATAATAAAAAACATCATGCTGTCTTAAGCTCTCAGACCACACCCTGCCTGGAGTAGAGGAGACATATCTTGTGGTTCTGGGAATTTCTCCAAATTCTGCCTCCCAACCCCACTTTAACGTCTCATGCATGATTGATTTTTCACGTTTTAGTCCAGTTTGTGTACAACTCAGCTTCTTGCATTTGACAAATTGACTGCATTGCTCTTAATTTGCCTTTTCTCCAAGATGCTACCTCTGTAGTCATTTCCTCAGTCCCACCCATTTCAGCTGTTAAATGAATGATACACTAACCTGTCATTGATCTAAGCTCCCTGCACACTATGTCCTGCCCCAGCAGTGTCCTCAGCAGAACAGGTGAGGAATCAACCTGGCTTTCCCATTATGGTAAAAAGTTTGCACTATGACTTTGAGTCACCAGAATTATGTAAGACATAAGAGCATGAGAAAAACTACCATGTTTAACATGCAAGTGTTACTAATGAGTATGAACAGAACAAGCTTTATTATTTGCATTTTAAATAGAGGGGGAGATTGAACCTCCAAGTTTGAAGAACATGCCCTAAGTCACACAGCTAATGAGTGGCTCTGGCCCAAATTGAAGTCTGTCTGAATACAAAGTTTATTCTTTCTTTATAACTATGCCAGTTGGCACTGGGAAATATAAGGTGACAGTAGGACCTTGGTTATCCCCAAATTTCCCTCCTTTAAATTTAGAACAGACGCTACCTAAAGAGTGAAGGAAGTTTCTAAGCTGATTTTATGTCCTCTGCATATCCCGTAGATAATGATTTGAAATAGCCAAGGTACTAACCATCTCTGAGCAGAAATGGACATCCCATCATCTGGAATGTGTCCCAAGTGGGCCTTATGAAAATTCTTAAGTTCCTGACAAGAAGAAGCTGACTACTCAAGATAGCTTGATTATTTCCCCACTTTCCCAAATCAAAAGGAGTGATTTCCTTGAAAATGTAAGGATATCAGAACTTTCAGAAGTACTTCAAGCAAAATCAGATTTAAGAATGTGTGTTATGAAGAGTATGCCCATAATTTCCTCCTATTCAAATCCTCTCGGGAAAATACATTCACCTCAGTGCCGAAGTGGCAACTCTATAACATGTGATCAGGTCCCCTGATCATAGCTGACTGGGCCTGAGATGAACCCCAGAAATTGAGGATCACATTCTATCCCTGGTGGAGATGATCTGAACTCAGGAAACAACTCAAGGAAGCGGTGAAGCATTGGCCTGAACATTGAAGAAATGAAAGTCATAACACTGAATAGTGAGACGCTCTAGGACATCGGCAGCTAGGGGTGTAACCCTGCTCAAGAGAAAAGACACACATACACTGACATTTTGATGACCACCCCACTGCCCGCCTAAGGAAACAAGGTTACCCCATCAGTGACGCCCACTAGCAACTTTCCTCCCCTCCTCCCTTTCTCTTGATCTCTCTCTCTCTCACACATACTTCTCCAATCAGCATGTAGACCCCTGTTTTTAAAACATTAAAAAGACACAGACACACAAGGCTTACCAGACATTTGAGGAAAGCCTCTTACCATAACAGACAGAAAAAATGAAAAAACAGGAGAAAAAAAGGGAAGAGAGAGAGAGAGAGAGAGAGAGAGAGAGAGAGAGAGAGAGAGAGAGAGAGAGATACAGGCAAATTAGAAACAATTCAGGAAAGAATAGACTTTTTTTTTTTGAGATGGATTCTTGCTCTGTCACCTAGGCTGGAGTGCAGTGGCATGATCTTGGCTCACTGCAACCCTGTGGCTCCCAGGTTTAGGCAATTCTCCTGCCTCAGCCTCCTGAGTTGCTGGGACTACAGGCATGTAGCCACCACACCTAGCTAATTTTTTATTTTTAGGAGAGATGGAGTTTCACCATGTTGGTCAGGCTGTTCTCGAACTCCTGACCTCATAATCTGCCCGCTTCAACCTCC